ATGCTCGAATCGTTCGTTGAAGTTCGAAAATTTAGAGAGATAGAAAGTTTAGAGAGATGAAATCCAAAAAAAGGTTAAGGGCAAAAGAGTAAATGGGGGGCGGTGACTAGTAAAAGGGAGGCGGTGAATAGCGATTGAGATTTGACAATTCATACATGGCATTCCAATTATGCGAGAACTTCTATGGTGAACAAGATAAAATCAGCGGGCTGGAGTTTTTTTTCACAATCTGAAGGTATTAAAATTTTTAAAATCTTTTTATCCTCTTCATTCTACTTTCAATAAACTGTTTGAATTTGAGTTAATACTTTTAACATTTTCTATTTTTAGAGCCAATGATTACATGGTTCGGCTCCCGATTGCTTGGTCGGAAAGTTTGAGAAGTTTCAACTTCTCGAAGGTCGTGTTTAGGGCATTGCAAACTTTAAGGTCGTGCCCAACCAAAATATGTACAAATCAACCGCATCAAGTCACAAGTTTGTTTTCTATGAAGAGACCCAAATGTACGAGATTGTGGATGAAAACTTCCCAAGGTTTATGTTCTGCTTCAAGAATTTTAGCGAGCTATCCGACCCACAAACCATTGATTCCACCGAACTTTTTGGTAATTATTTTTTTTACTTTGTAATTGATAATTAGCTACGAATTAAATATAAATTGGTCGTATTGTTTTGTACCAAAACATACAAACAACAATGTCGAAAGGTGTCCAAAAAAGGTTTATCGAAGTTCCTCTAAAGGATGTTTAGTAAGTTCACTTTCATATTTTTTTTTTTGTGATTTATCGTATATATTATATTTTTTTTCATATATTTTTTTTTCTTTAATGTGTATTGTTTAGTGGCTGCTAATTAACTTGCACGCAATGGGAAGGAACGTAGACAGCTATGGGAAGGATACATAGACAGTCTACTTGATGCCTACAACCATTCTTCTCCCCATGATTTATGGGTTGTCATCATACAATTTTGCTGAGGAAACCCATTCGATAATGGGATATTTACATTTTTGTAATAAAGAATGATTAAATATTTTTGTGCTTTATTAATAATGAAACATACTTGATTTAATTGTTTATCAATCTTTTTTTAACCTCTAGCTGCTACGAAACCCTCATCCCTAAATCCGCTCGCTCAGTCAAATTGCCAGTCGATTTGCCTTCCTCGGCGCCGGTGGAGCCTCGGCTAGGGGTCGTCCTTGACTGCTTGGCCACTCCTAAAGTTGCGCGCCTCCGTGTTGTTGTGGTCTGTCCGAGATTGGAGGCCTCGGTGGCATACCTCGCAGTCGGCGTCTGGCCTGAGATAGATGTCTTCCCCTCGGTCGCCGGTGGAGCTCCGATTTATGGCGGTAAGTCCCTCTCTCCTCTCCCTGTCCGCGATTCTTGGGCTCTGCCTTTTCCGGCGGGGCTCCGTCTCTTCTATTGGAGCCTAGGGTTCTGGTCGACGACTTTCTGTGGTGGTGTCGAGCGGCGCGTGTGTCTTCGGATGTGGTGGGACTCCCGCTGCTGTGATGTTTCCTGTTGTGGCGGTCGGGGTTGAGAGACCGAACCACTCTCCTCTATTATGTATTATTTGTTGTTGTGTATAAATTGTTATTTTTACCGAGTACCGAATCAAAAGATTCGTTTGGGTCGATCTCACGAGGAAGGCGGTTCAGAATTTAGCTTTGATATTGATAACACACAAAAGAAAAATAAATCCTAAACACACTAATCAAATAGGGGGGGGTTTGAGCAATTACCAACTAAGAAATAATAAAAAGCAATAATCTACCTAAGAATATAAGCGAAACAAAGATGGAGAATCTAGGGAGTCGGGGACAATTAATTCAAGTTCTATTTGCACACCGGGACATTAATCATTCCATTCAAGATTGACGCTCTCGCTTGAGCATCTAGCGGTTCGCTCCCAATAACTCTTCGTAACAAGGGATTGAACATAGACGAACAAACTTGAGCATACGACACAAGCCAATTATTCCAATTCCAATAACTATTCGTAACAAGGGACGAGTCATCGACAAGCACGTATTTCAATCCAAAACCTATAGACTATTCAATTACGAAATCATCTACCTCATGCGAGCCTAAGTCTACGACTTCTCCCCTTTCGGTTCTAAAAGTCGCTAATTAAATTAGAAGAGAGTTAATCGACTAATCATATAGAATCAACAAAATCCTAACTCGACTAATCAACATTCAATTGTTTCCAATTGCAAGATCGAAGTGTCACTCTTCGATTATATCAATCAATCAAACAAGATTTCATCAATTCGTAATCAACTCAGCCCGCACAAGAACAAACAATTCAAGCCCGACAAATACACGTTAAACAAGAACAATCATCCCCTATCCCTAGCAATCAGAATTAGCTATGTATCATTAATTCAACATAATAAAGCATTCCACCCCAAATAATCATTCTCAAGAATTAAACAAGATGAAAAATACTTACAATCAATCCAATCTAAGAGTTGAATCCAAATTACAAGTTTAATTCTTAGATGTAGAGAAGAAGAAGAAGAAGAAAAATGGAAAAGAAAGATGAAGAGAGGAAGAAAAATGAAGAAGAAGAAGAAAAAGAGGAGAAGAAAAGAGTTTCGTGTTTTTCTCGACCTAGAGTTTTCACCCCGGAAGGAGAGAAATAATGTTCCTCGAGGCGCCGTGCAANTGTGTGTGTGTGTGTGTGTGTGTGTGTGTGTGTGTGTGTGTGTGTCGCGTGAAACGGCGTGAGAACTCGGGGCGCGATGCGAGGCTACCAGGTGCCGCAGCATGGCTGTAATGCCCCGTTTAATTGTGGATTATTTGGGATATATTTATAATAACAATAATAATTATTATTGTTATAATTATTATTATTATTATTATTATCGAACGTCTAATATTATTTATTAGTCAAATTGCGATTAAATGTCTAATTGTCTAAATATTATTTATTTACCAAATTGTAATTAAATGCATAAATGTCTAGATGATATTATTTATTCAATAAATAATGTGTATTATATATATGCCTAAATATTATTATTTGACTAATTATAATTAATTGTCTAATTTACGTAATTTAATTTTGTTATCAAAATTACTATTTTTAAAATAATGTGTATATTAAATGAGTATTATATCCGGTTTATTTATTTTATCGTGCGTTTAAATCGAGCCCGTGAAAACTGAAACCCGAATCGTTGGGTGAACCGAACCAGCCCCAAACCCGTGAGCCCGACCCGGACCGCGTGTGTGTTGTGTCTTGAGGTAGAAGACTAAAACCTAGATATATATGTTATATCTCGCTCAAATTCCAACAGAAGAGAAAACGCCGCAGTCTAAATCTCTCTGTTACCATCGCAATCAGATTTCTTTTCCTCTCCTATCTCTCGCTTAACGATCGCAGACACCCCTCAAATCCCTCGATCCCGTTAACTCTCATCATCACCATCGCTCTCGCTCTCTCTCTCACTCGAGCAGAGGAGAGAAATTCCCGGCGACCCTCAACTCTCGCTTTCTCGCTGTTCCAACATCGAACTTGCTCTGTTTTTCCGAGTTCCCGTCACAGCCCTCACCCTCGGCATACCAGCAGGCCCGGCGAGTCTCGCCACCGTCAATTGCTGTCAAGCCACGTTCAGGCCATCATCCACCCTCGGGAAATCTGCTGCACATCTCCGAGCGCCATCATCAACGAGCCCCGCTCCATCTCTCTCGCTCTATTGCAGCAGAAAAGAAGAGAACACCTTGGTGTTCTCTGATCGGGACACACACCCATTGCAGTCGAGACACACACCCACGCATTCTCTGATCGAGAACACCTTGCTCCATTGCAGTCGGGACACACACCCACGCATGACCGGGCTCTGATCGTTGCAGACCCGGGAGGCCCCCAGTTGACCCTACTGGAGGACCTCCAATCGGAGAGCCCAGATCACCCCCGGACCAGATCCCTGGAGGATATTCTTTCTGAGAGTCCTTCCCATCACCGTCCTCAGATCAGATCTAGGGCCGCGCGACGCTCAGCCATCCGACTCTTATCTCTCTCAGATAGACAGACACAGCCTAGCCACGGGCAAAACCAGTTAGGTGGCCCCCTTGACATTTGATATGTCAGTCACATCCCTAACTTGGAATGCCCGTGGCCTGGCTAATAGGGCCACTCTTGCTCACGTACGATCCCTAGTTCGTGACCATAGTATAGACTTTGTTGCTTTCCTAGAGCCCATGACCCATAACCCCTCGTTTGACTTATATTCTCGACACCTTGGTTTCCACTCCGGTGTGGGAAACATATCTTACAAGATCTGGTTCTTTTATTCGCGAGACTTTACATGTCGGATCATCCGTGATACGGATCAGGTCCTGCATGTTGAACTCTCTGCCGCTCATCTCCCAGAACCAATCTTTCACACTCTGGTCTATGCCAGCTGTGCGAGGGTTGGTCGCTATGATCTGTGGGACACCATGCGTGAGATTGCTGAGATTATGGAGGGATCACCGTGGATGGTTAGCGGTGATTTCAACATCTTTCTTCATCCCGATGAGTGCATTGGTGGCCAGTCGGACCGCTCTGCGGAAATCTTAGATTTCGCCCAGGCTGTGGCGGATTGCAAGTTAATTGACGCTGGATACGAAGGTTCGCCATTCACGTGGGAGAGGGCCGGAGTTAAGAAGAGGCTTGACCGTGCTTTAATCTCTGAGGCATGGACAAGGGTGTTTGCGGTCACGACCGTCACACACCTCCCTCGAATTAAATCTGACCACGCTCCCCTTCTTATCCGGTGTCGGTTTTCGAGCACCCCACGTCGCTCTTCCTTTAGGTTCCAGAACATGTGGACCCGCCACCACACGTTCCAGGACACGGTTAGGGCTTGCTGGCTCCATCCGACGGGGCTTTTTGGGATGCGAAACCTGGAGGCGAAGCTTGATAGACTGAGGTGCAGTTTGAAGCAGTGGAATTGAACAGTTTTTGGCGACATTTCTCAGCGCCTTATTGCAGCTCAGAGTGCGTATGCGGTTGCTGAGCGAGCCTATGACCTGGATTCGTCACCAGAGAATAGGACCGCGATGCGCCGCTGCCATGCTGAGTACCAGCTCCGCCTTCTTATGGAGGAAGATTTCTGGAATCAGAAGGCTGCGGTTCGCTGGGTTGCTGAGGGGGAATGTAATACCAAGTACTTTCAGGGGTTTGTGAGGCAGAAGCGGGTTAAGTCGTATATCCATTGTATTGAGGATAACGGGTCTTCCTTGACTCAGGAGTTTGAGATACGGGAGTCGGCTGTGACACACTTCCAGTCCCTCTTCACCTCAGATCGCGTCTTGCTTACGCCCCCCGACGCTGTCGTTTTTCCCACCATCCCGCAATCGGTCGACCCTGTTGACCTCTGCGACCTCCCGAGTAGGGAGGAGATCAGGGAGGCTGTTTTTGGGATTGATCCCAACAGTGTCTCTCGCCCGGATGGCTTCTCGTCTCTTTTCTTCCAAGCCTGCTGGGAGATTGTGGAGACTGACGTTGAAGAAGCTGTGGTGGATTTCTTCTCGGGACACCGGATGCCGAAGTCCTTCACAGCGACCTCTATTGTTTTGATACCTAAGAGACCTAGTCCGAGTTACTGGTTCGACTATAGACCTATCAGCCTTTGTAATGTGACCAACAAGATCGTCTCCAAGATCCTTAATGGTCGTCTAGCTCCCCTCCTCCCTTCCCTAGTCTCTCCGAACCAGAGTGGATTCATCAAGGATCGATCACCAGTGATAACATCCTTTTGGCTCAGGAGATGATCCATGACATCTCCCATGCGAACCGGTCATGAGCTCCGAATCTTGTGCTAAAGCTAGATATGGCTAAGGCATATGACAGGGTCGAATGGCCGTTCCTCAGGGAGGTTCTGTTTCGGATGGGCTTCCCTGAGCGTTGGATTAGTTTTGTGGAGGCGTGCATGGAGCCCTGCACGTTCTCGATTCTTCTTAATGGTAGCCCTACTGACTTCATCCCTTCCACCCGGGGTTTTCGGCACGGAGATCCTTTATCCCCCTCTCTTTTTGTCCTGGCAGCGGATTACTTGTCCCGTTGCCTTGACAGCTTCATTCGCGACTTTCGAGGATGACCTATAGTAAGCGTGGGTACGGTCCTCCCATCTCTCACCTATCTTATGCGGATGACATTATTATCTTCACTCGTGCGGATAATAATGGACTGACTGAGCTCATGCGCCTCCTGGGGCACTATAGCTCGGCTTCTGGTCAGCTTGTCAGTGTGCAAAAGAGCACCTTCACCCTTGATCAACATATTGCGGACCAGTGGGACCATTGGGTCCACGAGCGCACTGGCTTCGCGCGTGGAGACCTCCCCATCACCGACCTTGGTGCCCCCTTGTACAAGGGCCACCTCACGCATGAGCTTTTTTCTGACGTTAGACAGAGGATGATTGACCGGATCTCCGGTTGGTCTCACAGGAACCTATCTTTTAGGGGTCGGCTTGCTCTGATTAAGAGCACCCTCAGCACCCTGCCGCTTCACCTCCTTACAGTCCTTGATCCCCACCAGTCTACTATCCACGAGCTAGATCAGATTTTGGCCCGTTATTTTTGGGGGCATGGGGAGGGTTCGCGGAGAGGGAGACAGGTCCATTGGGTGAAGTGTGACTCTGTTTGTTTCCCCTTTTCTGAGGGGGGGTCTCGGGATTCGGCGTTTCTCGGATGTTGTCACTGCATTTTCTTACAAAATGTGGTGGCGATTTAGGGAGGGTAAGTCACTTTGGGTGCAGTATCTTCGCCGGAAGTACTGTCCTGGAGGCGCTGTCCATCCGTGTCGGGTGACGGCTACTGCCCGCGATAGCAGACAGTAGAGGCGGCTCACCAGGGTTGGTAGACGTGTCCAGGCGCACATTTTTTGGTCTCTGGGGGAGGGGGAGGTTAGCTTTTGGAATGAGTGGTGGTTCGGTGAGGGTCCTCTTTCGAGCACTAGACAGGTCACCCACCTCCCTTTTCTACAGGTGAAGGACCTGTGGACGGAGGAGAGATGGGATAGGGATAGGCTTGAGAGGATTCTGGGTACTGGAGCGGGCCTTAGTGATCATGTGATAGATGAGATCCAGCAGATTCCTATCTCGAAGGACGGTTTGGACGGTATGAGGTGGAGGCTTACATCTTCGGGTGCATTCTCTACGACCTCGGCTTGGGGGGAAATACGGCAGGGTGACCGGCCTAACCTTCTCCTCGAGGCCATCTGGACTGACCTTTTTACCCTACCATATCTGTTTTCCTTTGGCGCCTCTTTTTGCGCCGCCTACCGATTGACACTGTGATGTAGACGAGGGGGTTCTCCTTCCCCTTGCGTTGATACTGTTGTACCGAGTCTGGTGATTTTCAGAGACCTTTACCCACCAGTTTTTAGAGAGCGAGACTGTGAGGAGAGTGTGGGAGCATTATACCAGTTACATTCATATCCCCCTACCCTCCACAGATACATTCTTTGAGCTTCTGAGTTTTTTTAGACACCGCACACACAGTAGACACGTGAGCTTCCTTATTCCTTGTCTGATCCTTTGGGCCACCTGGACAGAAAGGAATAACGCGAAGCATAGGGATAACCCTTTTTTGTCTTCTCATATTATTTTGCAGGTTGACCGACATCTTTCCCTCCTCACCGCTTTGGGCAGACTCACCCAGAGAGACTGGACAGGCTGCACGCCACCTCACCGCCTTGCACCACCTCCGCTGGTGCATGTCCAGCATCCACGTCCCAGAGCTGTTGTTTGGCTGAAATCCGAGTCGCCTTGGGTTAAACTAAACACTGATGGAGCCTTTGATCGACTTACTGGAGTTGTTGGAGGTGGGGGTCTGATTAGGGATCACAGCGGTGCCCTTATTGCCGCGTTTCATGCCCCTCTTCGGGCCTCCTCGAGCTATGACGCGGAGGTTCAGGCGCTTCAGATCGGTCTGCAGATTGCCGCCTCGATCTTTTCTCACATTTGGATAGAGTTGGACGCGGTTGCTGTCATCACTCTTCTGTCATCTGGACACCAGGGCACGTGGCAGATCCAGCATCCTCTCATGCGCATCAGATCCACCCTCCATTCGATTCGCTCCCGGATCTAGCATATCTTCCGCGAGGGGAACCGGCCAGCTGACTTCCTCGCTGGCATCGGGTCCTCCACTCCCTATAGACGCATTCTTTATCCTGACGACATTCCTATCCGCCTCCGCACCCTCATACGGATGGACCAGATGGGATACCCTTCATTCAGATTTGTGTAGCCGGACCTACCTTTTGGCGCTCCCCCACACTGTGATGCTGACTTTCTAGCCGGGACTACCCCGGAACATGATCATATGTTGTCAGCTTTTCTCTGTATTTTTTTCTTTCTTTGTTGTTTTTTGGTTTTCATTTGATTGGATGTATATCAGACATTGGACTTGTAGCCTTGTGACTTTTCGGCCAATATAGAGCATTTTATATACAGGTTGGGGGTTCTGCCTTAACCCCCCATCCTTCTGGGGTGCTGGTTATAAGGAAAAAAAAAAACCCATTATCGTCTCTCACCATCATCGTCTCGCAGCATCATCATCTCACACCATCACCATCGTCGTGACCTGCTGCCCCTCGCGTGATCGTCACATACCGCTGGTTGTCATCACCATCATCAGGCTCCAGTCGTTGTTCGCTCGACCTTTGATCTCGTGGCGCGCGTCATCCGCCGTCCAACCCCGGCGAGTTCGACCACTGTGCGCTGCTGTTCTCCGTGAGATCACCATCATCACGCTACTTTGCTGCCGTAGCGACATCCCAGCGGACATCATTCCACGTCGCATTCGTTGTCACCGCTAACCCATCGGCGAAGTCCCAGCCCCGTCCGCGAGCCCCGGTATGATCTATTCGCACTCGCAAGACCATCGCCATCGTTGAGTTCCAGCATTTCAGCCTGCCGTTCACCGTCATGATTTCATGTGTGAACACGTTCAGGTCCTGCCCACTACCCGTGGACGCCATCACAATCACCGCCCAGGCCCGCTAATCGAGTTACGTTCGCTGCGAGCCAAAGCCTGCTGCCGAGCGCGCCATTTAGCCCTTCTCGGCCCCGTGCGACCTCCCTATGCTCATTTTTCGTAACTCCGTCCCGAGAACGGTACCCGGGCTGACCCTTGCTAATATTTGATGTGTTCATATATGTAGTATTATGTGGATTATGTGATGCTCTTAGATATTATGTATGTTTTGAGTTGAAATTGGTTCAATATATATATATATATATCCGTGTGTGTGTGTGTAGACGAGCTCTTCGATTTTAAGTTGAGACCTCGTCATTCGTGTTTAAGTTGCTGGAACCTTATATGATCCTTGGTCTTATGGTGAAGACCTCGGGCGATTTCATCGTAAATCGAGTCGTTGATAAATTGTCGAAATTGTATAGGGGCTGTTTTCGTATTAAATTCATAATAAATTTCTTGCTGGTCCGTTTGCCTTGAACGTTTGAGGGTAATTGCCTCTGTTGATTATGTAGTTGGTGTATAAATTTCATGATTTTAGGAGATCTGTAGCTATTTTAATAAATTAGAGTGATTTCTGGTCAGTTTCATGTTAATTGCATAATTAATTGTGTAGTGCTCGAAAATTTCTGAAATTCGAATATGATGTTCTCCTGTCTGTTTTAGAGGTTGTGTTAAATTTTCATAATTTTTGGATTCTGTTAGCTTAGGTAAAATTATTTTGTGTTTCTGCTAGAAATTGTTTTAATTGTTAAAAATTGGTCTAATGCTGAAAAATTATGATTTTTGGTTGAAGTGCATGTTTTATGTGTGTTTTCATGTTGTTAAAAGATGAAAATTTGTGGAGTTCATTTAGGTTCTGTTATGTAGAAAATTAGAAATCAGCTGAATGTTGTAGAAATTTTAGTAAATTGCATGTTAGGAGTTTAGGGCTGATATTTTTACACACTGCTCTGTACATGCTGAGGTTCCTTAGATAAAAATTTCATAGGTCAATTCATTCATTTGATCTGGTTGCTAATTTATGCTCGTTTGTGCCTTAAACTTGTTCGAATTTTATAAAATAGCATGCTTGAATTTGGGGCTGAAAATTGCTAGTTTTGTTTAACTCTGGGAGGTGAAATTTTGGTTAAAATTTTAGAGTTAAATTCATATGATAACCTGACTAACCTATTTTTGTGATTAAAATCTAGTATTTTTGAATATATGGTTTTTGAATTAAAAACGGTAAATCAACTCGCCTTCCATTCTTTTGAGTGTTTGAGTTGGTCAATATTTGTTTTGGATTATGTGAACTCCCATGTGTATTTAGTTGAGTCTTAGTGTTGAGTCTAAGTGTTCCAACGTCCACAGGACTTCACGAACAGCTTAGTCGAATCAAGTTCGGCTGAGTATAATTGTGATTTCCGTTTAAGTCAGAATAGATGTTGATTATAGCATCTGGACTTAATGTAGGTGTCAGTGTCAGAATAATTGTGACTTCTCTACCGATTTACTAGGTGAGTTTTATTTAAAAATTGTCTATGCAATAAATTATTTACTTTACTCGTATATGATCAATGCGTGCTTACGAATCATGTAACCTTCGATGTGAGCTGAACCGGCCGTCGAACGGTTGTCCGTATTTATGAAATGAAAACTCGAGGGGTTACTCCTACTAACTGGGCACCGATAGAAGCCCGAGGGACATTCGGTGTATAAGCCCGAGGGGCATTCGATGTATAAGCCCGAGGGACATAAACGTAGTGTCATAAGGCCTAAGCAGACATATGATCCGTAAGGCCTAAGCAGGCATACGATACGTAAGGCCTATGCAGGCATACGATACATGGACCAACAGTAGTCTATTGGTATAAATGTGCACACGAGTCTTGATTTTATGACGATACTATGACGATTTTATGACGATATTATGATGACAGGAGATTGGGATATTAAATTGATTCTTATTCATGTTGAGATCATACTGTTGATTTGTTTGAGTAATGTTTACTGCATAGTGATGAGCACTACTTTTTCCTACTGTGTTCATCCCCACCTGAAATTCACGTTTCAGGTTAAGCGAGGCAGGCACGATGGCGGAGTAGAGCGAGTGGTGGTCGGTCTATAAGACCGGTCTTATTATTTGTTATGCTTCCGCATTTATGAATTCTGGATTTTATGATTGTGGACTTAGAGTAGTATTGCATTTATGAATTTTGGATTTTATGACTTGAATAATGTTAAGGAGATGCTCCTTAGAATTTATGAATATTATCGAAACCCGGTTTGAGTGATATATGAATTTTGGAAAACCCGTTGGGAGTTAGTAATATTGTTGATGATTGAGTTTGATGTTTGAATGAGTGTCGAGAAATTGGTTAAGTATTGAAATTCGTTTTGAAATTGAGTAGCGCCTCAGGTGTTTTGAAATAAATTTGAAAAATTTATTCTGATTTTCGGCAAATAAAAGTGAGGCGTTACAGTGGCGATGGGGAAATATGTTATTCTGACTGCTCGTGGAGGACGCCACGGGATGGCTCGTGGCGCGAGAGAGGCATGCGTCGCGGCGTGGGGCAGTGTTAGTCCCATTTTTGTTACTACTTTTGTGGTATTTTGTTTATCTTTCTTTTCCCACTCTAGGTTGTTTTGTAGGTTTTTTCGGTCATTTGAGTCATTTTGTGCGTTTAGTGTTATTTCTGTATTTTTCGTGTTTTTCGTATTTCTTTCTTCCTATTCTCCTGTTTCCGTGTTTTCTCGGTTGGTGTTGGTTTCAGGTATTCGAAACGCTGCTCTAGGATCGTTCAGTTAGTCGTGCGGACCAACATGTGAAGGACAATGTTCGAGCTCGGGCGGAACCCGGGAGTGCACGAGACAGTTGGGGGCTTATAAGTCGACCGGGGGAGGTTAGGCGAGCCGAAACGGGACAAAAAGCGCAGTTTTGTTGAGTTAGCGCCGCTAGGGGTCGCTAACGCCGCTAAGGGACCTAGCGCCGCTGCCATATACTAGCGAGCTGAAGAGAAAAGCCGCTGTCCGAGCATTAGCGCCGCTAGCTAGCAGCTAGCGCTGCTAACCCCCCCTAGCGCCGCTAACCCCCCTCTAGCGGCGCTAGCTACTGCTTATCAGATTAGTTCGCGATTCTATTATAATTAGGAGTAAGGTTTGTTTTATTAGACGCTCTTAGAATTATTTTATGCGCGTTTTTTGCTGAGGAGAAACACCTTCTATCATTGTTTTGCTCTTGGGATTCGATTTTAGAGATTAAAAACCTCTATTATCTTGCTTTGGATTCGGATACTATTGGATTGAGTTCAGAATTTTCATTAATCGTAAGTATTTTTCTTCAATTCTTTCATTGATGATGATGTCTTGGGTTATGAATGTTTGTGTGATCAAATCCAATATGAGTAGCTAAATCCATCTGCTAGGGATAGGGGATAATTGATTAGGTTCAATTATAATTGCTTGTTCTTAATTGTTCATATCTATGCGAGTTGAGTTCAATTTAGGGTTAATAGATTGATCACCTATATAACCTAGTTAATCATTGTTTAGAACCGAAAGGGGAGACATTGGTCGATTTAGGCTCGTTTAGAATAGACTTGTTCGTCAAAGTATTGTCTATGAGTTGCTGGATTTGATAGTCAATCGTATATGTTCACTCTCTTGTTACGAAGAGTTATTGAGAGTGAACCTCTAAACGAGAGACGATTCACTTCCTTTAACCGAGCAATTGATTGCCGGTGGTTGTGAAAGAACCGAAAGCAGTTGTCCCCGATTCCCTAGCTCTTTAAATTCTCAGTTAATTCGTTACTGTTCATTTCGTGCTTTATTTAATTTAAAGTTGGTAGTTGATAATTGAAACCCAAATCATTGAATTAGAGTGTTTAGGATTTTTATCTTCTTTTGTGATTGAATAATCGAACAAAATAATCCGGCTGACCTTCCTTGCGATACGACCCGGGGAACGAATCTTTCGATTCTACTCCGGTTAAAATTACTACAACAAAATGGCGCCGTTGCCGGGGAGGGTTTAGGACTTATTTTGTGCGCCTATTCATTGTTTTGAGTGTTTCTCTTATTTCTTGTGATTTTTTCTTGTTTCCGTGTTTCTCTTGATTTCTTTTTATTTGTTAGGCGTCAGTTCTTGTTTATTTTTATTTTTATTTTCTCTTTCCTATCATTGGTGCTCGTAACCCTTGTTGGTCTTAGTGTATGCGTACCAGGAGTGGACGCAAATTGCTATCTCCGATCAACAAATCAGTGAACGAGAGCCTGAGGGAGCTGCTGGAAGAGCTTACTCTCGAATCTAACGAAAGAGACGAGCACTCCCCGAAATCGTCAGAGGGCAGTAACGTCGACATGGATGAACAACAGCAACAACCGCCTCGTAACACCCTCTGAACCTTGGCCCAGCCGGTTATCGGGCCAGTCACTTCGTGTATCTGTTTACCAGAACCCGCACGAAATTATGAGCTAAAAATGATTCACTATAACCAGCTGCCGGCATTCCATGGGCTCCCGAGCGAAGACCCGCTTAACTTCATCCGGGAATTCTACAATGTCCTCAACACCTTCCCACTGAACGGGCTGAATGAGGATCAGTTGAAGATGAGGTGCTTCCCCGAGACATTGAAAGACCGGGCCAAGGCCTGGTTCATGACACTTGCACCGGCATCTCTGACTACCTGGACTGAGGTTTATACTAAGTTCATTGGGAGGTACTACTCCCATCAAAAGACTCAGGAGCTCCGGTCACAGATCGTCTCGTTTGCCCAACTACCGAGTGAGCCTCTTCACGAGGCCTGGGAGCGATTCAAGGATCTCCAGCGACAGTGTCCCCACCA